TCCCCTTATGCTCAGTAGTAATGGATAATTAATGGTACAATTCTCTAAAATTTCCTTCATGATGTCCTTAATTCCAAAACTCAAAATTGTAGCTAGCCATCAGCTAAAACTTTTATATAAACAAAATATTCATAGTACCAATTTTTAAAACAGTTCTGTTTTGGCCAGTAACTTACTAAATTCCACTATTCAAGTATCTTCATATCAATTAATTCATCAAAACAGGAGGCAAAGGAGTCATAACGGTTAATGGAATTGTAAAAACAAAAATGATTACAAAGCAATTAGTAAATATTAAAATACTTATGACATACACTCTATTAAGCAGCATCCAGTAAAACTTAACAAAAAAATATATCAAACTACAGTACAAAACTTAAATTATTTAAAAAACAAACTAAAAGGTTACACTTGTATAATAAAGAACAAATCATAATTATAGCTATTTGACAGATATAACATTAAATCTCACATTACAGGAATAATCAAAAAGGGAAAAGACCAGGGATTTTGGTAAGTACAGCCCATTAGGTGAAAATTTTACTATAAACCATGAAATTGAGCATATATTAAAAATAGGGAAGGTTCTGATTTTTAGGTTTTCCTTTTTATAGCTGACAAGGATAAAGAAACTAGGTTCCCTGGGAGAGTTGCATTATTAATTGGGTGGTGAACAAATCAATTGCTACATCCATTGTGTTCTCTCCAAATCTTTTGACCCAAAGCTTCTTCTGTAACAGAAGCAGAATACTGTGTGTTCCTAATAACACACATTATTAGGCAGAAGAATGTTTATTTTCTAACTTGTAGTTATATTAAAGAATCTTGAAATGAATTGCATATGATTACTCATTGAAATTGTTTACAAAGACTTCAGAGACTGCAGTATCCAGTTTTGTTCCCCTTTCTCACCCTTTTTTTTTTTTTTTAAATTAATGGCACTACAGTTATAAGAAATGAACATCATTGCCCTTATGGTTAATACTGTTTTTATACCCTATAGATGTAGAAATATGTCATTTAAGTAATCATCTTATGTGTCAAGGGAGCAAAGACAGGGTAATCTGTTTTGTGACACCGAATCAATTACAGCAATTGTGATGAAAGTCTGCACTGCATAAAGCCATGAAACCTAGACATTCAATTAGGACAATAGACAGAGCCAACCCAGAGACTTTCCCAAAATTTAGAAATAATAAATAAAATAAAGTTCAATATAAAGCCAAGCTCACAGGAAAGAAAAAAATATCTCAGGTATCAGAAACAAAAAAGAACTAAAATCCAGGACTACAATCCTAACTGAAATCTAGGAATACTGTTAATCCCTAGGAAATCTTGGAAGCAAGGTAGATTTGTTTACATGTCATGGTGACAGACCCTAGAGTCTAGGAGCTTAAGGATGACTATTTTTGCTGGTATAAAGGACAAGTCTTTGGGTCTGCTTGAGAGGGGAAGTTAGAATAGCATATCTGCAACAGCCAGGGCCTTAATGGGCTATTCTTTCAGCGAACTTGAACGGCTCTCACTGACTCAGGGAGAAAGATAAAATAATCTCCCATAAGAAACCAAAACCTTGGGGACTTCCCTGGCGGTCCAGTGGTTAAGATTCCATGCTTCCAAAGCAGGGAAGGCGGGTTTGGTCCCTGGTCAGGGAACTAGGATCCCACATGCCGTGCGTGCAGCTAAAAAACTTAAAAAAGAAAAGAAAGAAAGAAACCAAAACCTCAAGTCAATACAGCACATGGGTTTGTAGGCCAAATGTATGTTACAACACAATATAAAAATGTACTAGAGAAATTTAACATAAAAACTTTGGGGAGTATTCACTGAAGAATCGTATCAAGAACTTCTAAAACATTTTTAATTGTCTTAGCTAAACATACTATTAAAAAAGAACCTTAGAAGAATGGGAAAATCACAATTGACCAAACAGTCTCAGTATGCTTCTGATAATGAATAATAATATTAAGATTTTAGTACTTAATATATCAGCTTACCTTAAAATATTTTTAGGCCAAGCACAATTGGTATGAAATAAAGTGTTATATGAGACTAAAGACTAGACTTCAAAGCCAATTGTGTTTTACTACTTTCCTGAATCATTTTATAATCCTCACACTCTGACATACTAAAAATATAATGAATGTTTGTTTTTTATGAGAGTAAAGTTTGAAAAGAATTTTAAATAAATGCTGATAGAGAATGAAAAACCGTATGGGAGAAAGTAAACAGTGATTTTAAAAAGGATTTAGCCCTGTTCAATAGATGCATTTTTGGCAGAGGTAGAAAATCCAATTCAAGTTCAGACTGTCAGCTTTTCTATTTTGTACAATTTCTACTGTTTCATTCTTCTTAGAATTATGAAATGCTTTGCTATGTAAACTTATTTTAAAAGCTAAATAAGCATTTTTGAACCCCCAAATACACACTTACCTGTAAAATTTGAGAAAATGCCGATTTTGTGTAAATACTTTCTTCTTATTCTAAAATATTTTACAAAACACTGACTCAACAAACACTATCAGTATAACAAAACTGGTATTTCAATTAATGATAGTCTTTAATGTGATTGTTTGTTGCTTTCTTTTACTCAAAATTTCTAATAATACAAAACAAAAATTGAGGTAACTCCAGTAAAACCTAACCTAAAGTAAATTGCAAAAATATAAAAATGCCTGAGTGATGTTTGAGCAACAAATGAAACTCTCATTATAACAATTAGAAGAACTCATATATTTAAGGGAAGAAAAGAAGGAAGGGAGGGAGGGAGGGAGAGAGGGAGGAGGAGAGAGAGAGAAAGAAAGAGAGAGAGGAAGAAAAGAAAGGCATAAAACAAGGCTTCCCAAGCCTCACTGTAGATTAGAATCACACTTGAGCTTTATAAAAATTCAAGTAATAAGTGTTACTAAACAAATGACTCTGTGGAAACGGGACCTTAGAATCTGCTCTTTTAGCCATAACATAGGTAATTCTAATGCCTATTGAGATTTTAATGCTATTGGCCTACACATAATTCCTTCAATTTCTCATATTCTATTAACTCAATTGCAAGCTGGTTTTGATTTTCACTCATCTACTGAAACTGCTATTCAGTGATATACCACATGTCAATCCTAAGTAACATTTTCCTTTATTATATTTATAAACATTCCCATTAAATCCTTTTTGCCTTATTTGGCATTATTTAACCCTCTTGAAATTGTTAAGGCATTGGTCTCTGTGACACTGCATTTTCTTTATTCCCCTTGAATATTTCCAATGGTTCCTTCTCTCTTACCTTTTGAACATTTTCCTTCCTTTATTTAGATGTTTGTGCTTTCCAGAGAACTATCTTCTCACTGTATCTATTCTCATCTATTTACATGATTCAGTTACACCAACATACCAACAACTCTCAACCACAGATTTCCTCTCATGGACTTCAAACACATATTTACCAATTCCTGGAACTACTTATGTAGATTTGCCTCAAACTCAAAATGTCCTGAAAGTGAATCAGTGATCTTTCTCCTTAAGCCAGTTTGACTTCATTTATTTTCATCCCGAACTTCATGTATCATCCTCTTCCCAGTCATTCGAGGGAGATTATGAAAGTGTTCCTGGACTATTAGTCTCTTCATTTGTCTTACTCCCTATATATTTCTTGGGCCAATATCCTTCTTCTCATTGCTATGATCAGGTTCTGATTCAGATTTCTCCAGCTGTTACCTTCAGTATGCAATATCGTCCTATTTTTCCCTCTTTCAACTTGCACTTACCTAAATCCAACCTTTGCAGGATCACCAGGATACCCTACTAATGTACATCTTTATGTCAACCCTTTGCTAGAAAACATCCAGGATAGAGCACAAGCTCCTTAATACAACATACAGACCATGTTAATTTGTGTTTAGTAATTTGGGTTAATTTCCACTTTCTCTAACCTCTTCTCCTACTACTCCCTTTCTTGGATTTTTCACTCTAATAACACAAAACTGTGGTGGCTCAAAACCTTATTCCTTGACTCATTTTTTTTTTCCTTTTCACATTTCATAATCAATCCATCAGCAATTCTGGTCAACTCCACTATCACATTTTTACTAGAACCAGTCACCTCTTATCACTTCACCACTACTGTCACTGCCACTAACTACCATTATAGTGCAAATCATTTATATATGTCATGGCTATTTTGAAAATAGCCGCTTAGACTAGGGAACATTATTCTTCTTGCTTCCCCTTCCCCTGGTCCCTGCTTTGTCCTCATGCTGTCTCATCTGTAAACAGTAGTCAGAGAGAGTTTTTAAAATATAAATTCATGCATCTTTCTCACCCCTGCCACTCTCTAGCTCTCTTACATGCTTTAGTTTTCTTCACAGCCTTTATTACCACTTGACAAATATTTGGTGTATTCTTGTACTTTCCACTATAATGGAAGCTCTATGAGAGCACAGACTTTTTTTTTTCCACTTAGAGCATTCCTGGCCCATCAAGATCCACAACTAGTATTTGTTGAACAAATGAATAAATGAATGTAGCTCAGGCACCTCTTAACTTAAGAAGTTTTTGCTGATCAACATGATGGCTTAAGTGCCCTTCTCCATTGTCTTCTTTACAGTAGAGTATACATCTCCATTTCTTTATTCCACATTGTTTCATAGGTTTGGGTAAATCTTTCGCATTAGACCAATCTTTGAGAATGCAAAACTGTCTCTCTCATCTTTTTAATTTCAGTGCTATCATAGTGCCAGGCATCTAAAATACATTCAACACACATTAGAACTGAATGAATAAGTACATGGATGAATAGATAAAGGCTGAGCATCCTTAAAAAATATTTCAGATCTTCATGTAGTCATTAAAAGCAGCAGTTCTTTGAACATAAAATACAAAATGATATAGACATCTGGATCAAATACGGATGATCTTGCAACCTATCTAATACTTAGTAAAAGCTTTGTTGCTTGAGATTTTTAGTAAAATAATCTGTCTTTAAACAATTGAATTTTGTGTATTTTCAGAGATCGTCTATAGCTGGGTATTTAACGAGTTCCCTTCCTTTGTGGCGGAAGACAGCCGGCGGTTCATTTCCCAGGAGACAGGCAACCTTTATATTTCTAAAGTCCAAACATCAGATGTTGGCAGCTATATTTGTCTGGTGAAAAACACAGTGACGAACGCTCGAGTACTTAGTCCTCCAACACCACTCACTCTCCGTAATGATGGTAAGTTCCATGGACTGGATTGAAATGGTCAGCCAACTCAAATGTGAAAAATTGAGTATAATCTGCAAAAATACTGAATCACTATGCTGTACATCTGAAACTAATACTATATTGTAAATCAACTGTACTTCAATACAAAAAGACCTTAAAAAAAGATGTATTAGTGTTCTTCTAAGCACTTAAACCTAGCACAAATAAAATAAAAAGGCATTTGGCATATTTAGAAACTCTACACTTTTAGTCTAAGATCATGCATACCTTAGAATAAAATTTTTCACATAGGAAAGTGATGATCTATAGCTAAGAAATATTAACCTTAACACTACCCTAATGCCAAAAAGGAAGAGGGATTCCAAAAAGATGAACTGTAATAAAGACTCCACAGTTCGTTTTTTGCTCTTTAGGGCCTCTATATAGCATATGTGTATGAATTGCAAGTATTTTGCAGGTTCATTTTTCATCACTTTTTAATTTTAGCTACCTTCAAATTAAATGTTCAGCTTTTAACACTTCATGGCATAGTTATAATTGTTATTATTACTTTTCCAATAATAGGAGCAGTTGGAACTTTAACTTTTAAGTGCAATTCAGGCAGAAATGATGATTCTATAAGTATAGGTATTGCCATCTATCCAAAGTATCTTCAGATTTAAAAACCTGATTTGTAGTTATAGACATTTACAATTAAGCATTGCATTAAAGAAGTCAAGTGCTATATTACAGTTGATATATGGCTTGCTCTGTCATGCAATAAAAAAGCTATGAAGGTATTATTGAAAAGTAAGCTCAAGAATCCTGATGGATTGTGAAGCTTAAAAAATAATCTATTTCAACACTAGTCTTTTATATGCTTAGATTTAGAATATATGCTGCAGTAATGTATAGCCAGAGTTTATATATATATATATATATATATATATATATATATATATATAAAACATTAGTAATAATCCTATAATCCTATCAGGTAGAGAGTACAAATGCAATATCTATTTCAGAGATGAGGAAGCCAATTTGAAAGAGATGAAGGGACCTCCAAATGTCACACTGCTAGGTAATGGCATGGAGGAATAAATGGGAAACAAGGATGAAAAATGGGAAACCAATTTAGAGGCTACTGAAACTAACCAGTCAAGAGGTGAGGAGGTGAGGAGGGACAGAATGAAAGCAGTGGTAATAGCACTGAAGGGTTGAAAACATGCCTGGGATATTAAGAAGGTAGAATTATCAGAATGTGATGATTAAACATGAGGCTCTGGAGTAGGAGAAAGCTTTCACATAGTTCAACGAATGGATGATGATTCTTTTCATGAAAAGAGTTAAGACAGATGAAAAAATAGATTGAGAAATTGGTGAATGTGACAATTTCAGTTTTGGCTATGTTGAGATAAGATATCCATGGGAAATTTACGTGGAAATATGCAGTAGGTTACTGATACATATTCCTAATATGCACAAGAGAGGACTGAGCTAGAGAAAGAGATTTAAGTGTTATCATTGTGTATTCCATCAATACAGTTAAAACTATGATTGTGTGTATATTATGCCAACTTCAATATTATATAAGAATGTCTATAGGGTGAAAAGAATAAAGGAAAATAAATATGCATTTAGAAAACTTACCTAGTTAATAGTTTAGAATTGAGGTGATTTTCTATAAGCCATTTTCATAAAGTTTCTATTTTCTCATTAATTCAGCAAGAATTTGAAGCATCTTTGTTTGAAAATTGTAACATTTTGCTGACTAGTTCCATTTACACCATCCATTTATGTAATAATACCGTACATTCAGATAGTGCCTGAGGTTGAGTAGGCTATTCTGCCTTATTTTCATGCACCAAACCTAAACATTACATTGACCTTCACAAGGGAGAGGAACACATGTAAAGTAAGAATCCAAAAATTGACACCACCTTCACCAGTGATTTAAAAGCTCAGGACCCATGTTCAACAGTCTCTTGCACTTCTTTGATTTCATGACCCAAAGGTATCACTTAAATTTACCTTATACATTCCATAGTCAAACATTTCAAGAATAATTAGAGTAATTTGTTTGCTGCTATTTAAACTCCTTTGCCCTTCTGATTCTATTGCTCGCCCTGGGCAAAACCCCACTCCTAATGAACTCACTATACCCTTAATTTGTGACTGCCTTGGAATCTGAAAGTTGCTAGAGAGTTACACCTGCCAGGGATTCATGATCAACAACATCAATATTGCCACTGAATCTTAGTAAGTTTCTGTGGATGGTTAATTTGTAACTGTCCCAAAGATTTTTGGAATCTTCTCTGCTTTTCTCAAACTGGACAGCCTCCCTCCTTTCCCACTGCTTTACAAAACCTATTTAAGTATCAAATTTACTTTCCTACTAATGGAATTTCAAATCTAACTATTGATACATCTTCATCCACACTGTTCTTCCCTTATGTAATTTCAGTAGAGATACTCTACTGTCCCTCCTACTATTAAAACCAATCCCTCCATCCTTGACTGCTGATTTTCATTCCCACTGGCCTTTTCAGATTGTCACACTGTTAGCCATTGTTTCTTATGTAACCAATACTGTGTCACTAAACTAATAAATATTTTTAGTCATGTTAATTGAATTTACTGAAGCAGTTGAAACCGTTGACTTATTTTTATTTTACAAACATCTATAGTTTCAAAAAATCATTATTTGTGCAGTACTATATGAAAGGTTCAATAAAGCAATGCACACAAGTAAAATAAAACTGTTATTTTATAGTTAACATTTAAGTTAAAAAGAAACAGGTGAAAAACACCTGCTAAATTTCAATTACATCATTCAATGACAGTCTTATTTAAGATTTTGTGAGAGAAGTTAGAAAATTCATATTCCTTCTTTCTGTAAATTATCTGAGATTATTGTTTTTCTTGGTGATTGTCTACTAATTTTTAATTTTTATCATAGTAATACACCCTTATCAAAGGAATGTAGTGGTTTATAAGTGCTGATAAGAAGGGGAAAGAAAAAGCAAACCCACACACCTCCCTTCTATCCAGTCCTACTCCCTAAAGCTAACTTTTTAATTTCTCCTATTTTTCTTCATGAGTGTCTCATATAATGCTAGGAAATATCTGTGCTTCTTGTTTAATCAAGTTTAGACAATAACTCATATGATGTACATCTGTTTCTTCTATCCTCCCCTCTTTTATAGTTAAATAATATTTTTCTGTTGTTTCCTTTTTAACCTTGACAATGTGCTTAAATCTCTATTATCCTTTTAACTCTTAAAAATAATTCTTGACTTTCTATTATATAAAGTGATAGTTTTAGTCCTACTTTTTCCTTTACCTTTCCTACACTACTTTTATGTCATTTTGCCTTCCACATTTACTCTGACGTTCTCTCCTGCAAATGCAACCAAGTGTTCTAAACTTTCCCATAGATTAACTGTAAAAGCTTAAAACAAATAGATGTTAACAAGTTATTACTATATAATTATCTTTCAATACATATTGTTACAGATTTTTAAGCTATTTGTAGATATGTGTGCTCTACTAGACATGATTTCATAAGTGAAACTTTGAATATAACAAGAAAATAACACTGTGATACAGTTTGGATGTAATTTCTCTTAAAATTTTGCTCTATAAATACAATTCATAGTTTCAATAATAGTGTTGAAATATGAACATGAATCATCACAATGCAAATGATAAATGAAACCATTATTGTGGTTAAGAAAGCCCACAAAATGCATATGAAAGAGAAGTGAGCTTAGGAACAAGCCTTGAGTAGTCTAAATTGCTCTGGAAAGGTTAAAAATGAAAACCCTACAAAGGATAATGATAAGGAAAAGTCAGAGAGATAATAGGAAAAACAATAGTGTAGTATCAAGGAAGCCAAGAAAAATGAGTATTTCAACAAGGAGAAGTGGGCATGCAGCTCAAGATGGTGGACTGGGTGCCTGTATTTGTCTCCTGTCTCCCTTCTGAGACCCTGTAAGAAGAAATTCATGTCATCAATGAGTAGAGGAAGCATTTCATTAACAAATGAGACACTTTGATATATTTCTGGAAGAATAAGGAAGGGTGTGAGTTTAAGGATTAAACAGGCAGAGTAACTAAAACCTAGAATAAAGTTTAAGGGATCTAAGGAAAGGGCTAAAAACCATGTGCCCAGTGGAAGCCTGAAAAAGCTCTGAAATCAGTTAGCTAAGTGTGGGCCTAAGAAACGGGGCCAAAGGGGGACTGAAAGTATATACGTTGAACATCTGTTTCAGTGAAAAATTGGAATCAATTCTCTTCCCTGTCCTTACATGCAAAAAGACCAAAGGGCTCTTAACAACCTCTTAACAACATGAGTGAACTTTCCCTGGAAAGCTAAAGTTCTTAATGTGAATAGTGGCACAGAGTGCAAAACCTTCTCATTCTGGCACATGAGTGTCCACAGCCTGACAGCCAGTTCCTTGCCCTCACATCAAAGCAGAGCTGACTGTCAACCTACCTCTCCCAGCCACCCGCACCCTCACCTCAAAAGGGAACCAATTCTACAGAATCGGGAAACACACAGCAATGTCCAAGCCTCTCAGACTTAACGTTTATATGCAATGTTAACAGTTTCTATTTAAAATTACTGAGCTTACTGAATGGTTATAGAATTTATATCAGGATAATATGCAAAAAGCAGGAAAATTTAAATTATTCTAGAAAGGCATCAATTAGACTAGAATTGTTCTTAATTCAAAAAACGTCTATATTACTATTTGATCTCTCTTCAAAAAAAAAAAAAAAAATGGAAGACCATGTTTATAGGAAGGACATATTCTTGAATGCTTTCCCAAGTAGGTGGCTTATGTTAAACACTTAGTCTGAAAATAAAAATAGAATATGATTGTGGATGATTCCATTATTTGTATCACAGTCAGCTACAATTCCTACTGGGTTTTACAAACCTCTCATTGCAGAGACAGGCATTATAATGGATATTTCTGCAAACTTGACAAACACCTCTGCAGGGGTTTGAATATAAAAGT